CAAGTTGTGCAAAGTAGCCCAAAACTGTGCAGGAAACGATAATTCTCCACGATGGCTGGAACAAGAGACAGAGAAGAACAAGCTCTGAAATGGTACTTAAGAGTTATCTGGTTTAGTAACTAAATACGAAGAGTAGTCAGGTGTTTTGAGGTCTTCTGTTTATTTAGAAGTATTTATTGAGTACTTGATGTCCCTGACACTCTTCTAAGATCTTTGAAATATATTTCCATGGCAATCTTATAAAGTAAGGACTGTTACATGGTCCTTTTACAGACTAGGGAACTGGTGCTCAAAGAGTTGAGTCCTTGGGCCAAGGTCATATGCTAGTAAGGGGTAGATCTGGAACTTGAACCCAGCTCTGTCTAACCCCTTTTATTCTTCTAGTTTTTATTTAAATTCTAGTTAGTTGACATAAATGGTAAAATTGGTTTCAGGTGTAGAATTTAGTGATTCATCACTTATAATAACACCCAGTGCTCATCTCAACAAGTCCCCTCCTTAATGCCCATCACCCATTTAGCCCATCCCCCACCCACCTCCCTCCAACAACCCTGTTTGTTCTCTATAGTTAAGAGTCTTTTATGCTCTGCTTCCCTCTCTCTCTCTTTTTTCCCCTTCCTCTATGTTCATCTGCTTTGTTTCTTAAGTTCCATATATGAGTGAAATCATATGGTATTTGTCTTTCTCTGACTTACTCTGCCTAGCATAATATGTTCTAGCTCCATTCACATTGTTGCAAATGACAAGATTTCATTCTTTTTGATGGCTGAGTAATAGTCCATTGTATATGTGTACCACATCTTCTTTATCCATTCATCAGTCAATGCAACTTGGGCTGTATCCACAATTTGGCCATTGTAGATAAGGCTGCTATAAATATTGGGGTGCATGTATCCCTTTGAATTAATATTTTTGTATTCTTTGAGTAAATACCTACTAGTGCAATTGCTGGATCATACGGTTGTTCTATTTTTAACTTTTTGAGGAAACTCTATCCTGTTTTCCACAGTGGCTGCACCAGTTTGCATTTCCAACAACAGTGCAAGAGGGTTGCTCTTTCTCCATATCCTCACCAACACCTGTTGTTTCTTGTGTTGTTGATTTTAGCTATTCTGATAGTTTAGGTGGTATCTCATTGTAGTACTGATTTGTATTTCCCTGACCATAAGTGATGTTGCAACTCTAACTCCTGAGTCCCTTCTCATTTCACTACATAACCTCACACCAGACCAATTATATCAGAATTTATTGGGAAGGGACCTATGTATCAACAGTTTTTAAAATTCCCCAGCTAGGGGTGCCTGGGTGGCTCAGTCAGTTAAACGTCTGCCTTTGACTCAGGTCATGATTCCAGAGTCCTGGGACTGAGCCCCATATTGGCTTTCATGCTCAGTGGGGAGCTTCTTTCTCCCTCTCCCACTCCTCCTGCTTGTGCGCATGCTCTCTCTCTCTCTCACTTGCTCGCTCGTTCGTTCTCTCTCAAATAAATAAGTAAAATCTTTAAGAAAAATAAAATAAAATTCCCCAGCTAGTTCAAATGTGCATCTAGGTTTGGGCATAATTGCCCAATTAAAAAAAAAAAAAGCAAAGCAAAAGAAAAACCTTCTTTACCTACTGATTTCAAATATAAGTTGGAATTATATTTTATTTTATTAATGTAAAGACTTGTTTGATTCAATGTGTGAATAGGGCTTCCATGTAGTTTAGAAACCTGAGTAGCATGTTCATTAAACCCTAACATTCAGTGCTATGTTGAGATCACGTTCTTATGTTTGATAGCATTGCCTTTCATCACTCTTTTACTGCTTTGTGATCTCCTGAACTGTGTTCCTCCAGCTAAGGATCAAAAAAAATTAAAAAATAAATAAATGTCTCTAGATTTTCCCTGGTAAAATATAAATCTTAGAAAATCAAATTCCAACTTGAGAAATCTGGTTTGGATCAAAGAAACTGAGTCATTAATCTGGATCTTTCTGCAAAACTGGAGCCAACCCAACTCCAGGCCATGATATATATGGAAGAGGCCAGATATTTAGAGGGATATTAATTCTTCCTCATTGTTGATGTGTTTGTGCTGACAGAAGAGACAGAGACCAATGGCAGAATACTGAAAGGCTGTATTTGGGTATTTTTAGCTTGATTAAAATAAGGGATGATTTAAAACTATTTTAAACAGCTCTTCCCACAGAATCCTGCAAAGCTTCCAGCCTGATCGCTGGGTGGGAGAAGTTTGGCCAAAGGATCCGGATGATGAAGAAGAACCTCTCCCATTCAGATTGAGCCTCCAGCAGTCAGAGATTGTACCCCATCAGTCTAAACAACATTTTTTGTGATGTAAACACAGACCACAGATGGGAATTGTCTTTTAGCATCTTAGATGAGAAACCCAGCGGTTCCCATGGACCGCTTAAAGACATTAAAAACCATTCTGTCGTTGGCAAAGGGACTGTTTACCCCCTGAGGAACACTCCCAGGTGACAGCCATCACAGGTAGGTTTTGAATCATGGGACGATGCTAATGTGAACGAAGCTTGTATCCCTGGAAAAGCCTATTTCCAGCCCTCTCCTGCTGCTTCATTATCAAAGGGACTGGTGTCCCTGACTCCCATGGCCAGAGTGGAGAGGGGGAAATGAACCTTGGTTAGCCAGGAGCTCCTGCCTTGTTACAATGCTGATCCTGCCTTTTCTTCATAGGATTCATGAGACAGATGAGCAGTTCTGGTGCTGATAAGGCAGAAACACAATCATTATTATGCACCCATGTATCTTGCAGGGTCACTTGGACATGCATTCCATTTCAGCACCTCTGATGGTCTGACTCATTTCCTCTACCCTGAGGAGAAACAAGGACTGCCTGGACAAAGCATTCACCATTCATAGCCAATGAATTGGGCAGTTCTCCAGATTCTGAGAAGCTTTAGTGACAGGCCTGAAAACCTGTTCTCTGATAGAGTTTTTTCACCATTGACTCTCTGTACAGTCTGAATTTCATTTCACTGATGTGGGTAATCCAATGCCTTACTTGTGAAAAAAGAATCACAATTACTTGAGAATGAAAACAAACAAAAACAATGCTCGGCCAAGATCTCCCCCGTCTTTCCCTGCCCTAGGACTCTTCAAGCACAGATAGAGCCCAGGTGAAAGTCCACAGTGTTGGATCAGTGATAGAGCATATTCAAACCTAATTGTCGCCAATGTTTATTAACAGTCTTTGCTTGTTAATATTTACACGCCTGGCAAAGCAGAATTCTATAGGAAAAACAAAACAAAACAACTGGATCTACCCAATCCTGTACCTCATCTTAGAGATGATGCTGTCTCTGAGTCATCCAATTGCCCAGTTACCAGAAGGCCTCACGTTTACCCTTGGCACATGTGGAGCTCTTGACCAGTAATACTTCTCTGGCCACGAATTCATACATTTGGCTTAATAGTGACACAAAATTGGGTGCCTGGGTGGCTCAGTTGGTTAAGCGACTGCCTTCGGCTCAGGTCATAATCCCGGAGTCCCGGGATCGAGTCCCGCGTCGGGCTCCCCGCTCAGCGGGGAGTCTGCTTCTCCCTCTGACCCTCTCCCCTCTCATGCTCTCTCTCTATCTCATTCTGTCTCTCAAATAAATAAAAAATCTTTAAAAAAAAAGTTTAAAAAAAAATAGTGACACAAAATTGATCCAAAGTACCATTTTCAATGGATTTTTCTCCTTTCTAAATGGACACCCAACCTTACAAGCTTATGTGCCAGTTGCCCACACATACTGTTCTCCCTTCCTTTAAGAATTGAAAATAAATTGTTTTTATTTGATGGATGCTTGAGTGGCTCAGTCGGCTAAGAGCCTGACTTTTGATTTCGGCTCAGGTCATGATCTCAGGGTTGTGAGATGGAGCCCCCGGTGGGCTCCACACGGGGTGTGGATCCTGCTTAAGATTCTCTCTCTCCCTCTCCCTCTGCCCCTCACACTTGTTCACTCTCTCTCTCTAAAAGAAAAAAGAAAAGAAAAAATTTTTATTGGAATCAGAGTGGAGGACATTCCTTGGGGACAGGAAAACCAGAGCTTGCCTCTGGGGTGGCTGGGAATTGTAACTCCATGGCCACATTTGGAACAATCAGGCATTCTATGTGCTACACTTAGGGTACAGCGACTGAACCTGAAGATTCCCGAATCAGACTCCAGCGTTCAAATCCCAGCTTCACTATTTTATATCAATGGGCAAATTCCTTGACCTCTCAAAATCTCAGTTACTGCATTAAAAAAATTATTATAAAATAGTCCCAAAAGGGGGATTCTAGGAGGCAAAGTAGAAAGGTTTGGAAGGAAGAGAATCCCAGAGAACTGGTTCAATTCAGTTTATATCATTCATTCATTCAGTACCTCCCAAGGGGTACACCACGTGCTTGGTGTTGAATTTGTATATACGGAGAAGACACGGACTCCTTTCCCAAGACATTCTTCATCCATTCATCATAAGCTACACTGGAGTTCCTTCTGAGCAGCCTCTCCACAACTTCATGGTGGATGCTAAGACTACTGGGACATTTCCAAGAGGAGACCGCAATTCACTGCCACTCTCCAGAGCAAAAGACATGAGATGATGTAGGCACTGACTTCATGAGTCTCCTTCAATGGTTCCAAGGCAAGCAGAGATAAGGCAGCATAAGCTGCTACCATAGCTCTGTACCAAGGCAAGAGAAGGGGAAAGATCCTGTAACAGGTATTCCAACTTCTTAAGGTGCCAACAAATGAGCAAAATGAAAAACCATTAACTTCACCATCACAGGAGTAACTGCTCTGTTCATGTGAACAACTTCTTCACCAGATTAAAAGCTCCTCAGAACCAGGAATTGTGTCTTATTTTACCTAACTATACTTAGCACAGTACCTGGCACGTAGTAGATACTCAGTAAGCATGTGTTGAGCTGAAACAAACTGAACTGATATTTGTATGATATTTAACAGTTGACGAAGGAGTTTCACATTAATTATTCCAGGGTTATAAAAGACTTTTGCTAATAAAAGACTTATTCTCATAAAAAAAAAAAATAGTCCCTTCTGTGAGGATTAGGTGAGATCAAGTCTGAGTGCTTAGCATCCTGTGTGTGGTGAGGGGTAAGTATGGGTCAATAAAAATTAGCCATTATTATCATTTCATTATTATTTATTTAGTCTTGAAAGGATGCCTCAGAATTCAGTGGCATTTCCAGGACTAAATCAGATTTTAAAAAGGAAACTTCTTAATTCACATTATGACTTAAGTTTGTTTAGGAAAATCTCCTACTTTTCCTAACATGAAGGAGATCCTTTTTATGCCCTCCCAACACCAACATAGTTAGAGAGTAAAAACTGGGGTTCTTTATTATATTAGAATCTGCCTGGGCAGTGTCAAGAGTGTTGAGGTGATATGAGGGAGCAGCCTCTCCACCCCCTCTAGCTAGTTTGTGTTTCAAGGCTCCTTGACCTAATGAGGGTTCCCCAGGCTGCGAAGTGGTGCCAGATGATGATGTCGGCAGCTGCATGAGCCGAGTCCTCCTGCATCTGTCCCAAGGTTGTCCGATGGGGATTGTGAATGTCAGGACACTATGTTTTCACAGTTAATGGATATAGCTAAATAGATGGAGTAAGAAAGCTTAAATGATTTTGCGCAAGTCATGGGTGGGGATGGGAAGGAGGCAAGAATGAGTTCCCAGAGAAGAGTAAGCTTAAGGCTATCAAAAAGAGATAAGAAATTAAAGATTTTCATTGCTCACTAAACAAGACCTCAGCTAGGACCCCCTCTCAAAAAGCAACAGAACAAGATTAGAAGAAGGCCAAATGATAGATCTTATCAAAGATAAATGAGCTCTAAGATATCGTGTATTTGAAACGTTTGGGTCTTTCTTGGCAACAGACACACTCTCATCTTGCTGTTGTCTCCTTCCCCTTTACAGCTCTCATTTATTATATCCGGCGATGGTCTGTTTTGCCAGGATACGCCCCTAAAACATTTTGCCCCTCTCCTTTTCTTCTCTTTCTTTAAACCACAGGTATGCAATAGACATTTTATTCTTGAAAGCGACTGATTTATTTGTGCTGACATCATTAAATGTCACAACAAGAATTTGACTTCGTGTCCAAGATTATTAAAAATACAAATTTCTTATCCTTAAAAACAGGAAATCACGTGTCTCTTTAAGAAAAGGAACTCACCCCTGAAAGACTTGCGCTCTACTAGAAATTCTCAGCATATGATTTTGAGGATCGTTTGAAGAGTCTTCTCTTTTCTTTCACCATAACGTTCCCATAATAAACACATTAGAGAAGAAATGCTCAATGTATGGAACAAAAACTATGCAAATTTGATCCACATTCTAAATGTTTCGGTGTACCCAGCGAACATCTGGACCAAAGTTTTTTCCGTCCTTAAATTAAAAAAAATTTTTAAATAAATAAATAAAAATAAAAACATCCATTCATTTATGTCTTTACATCTTGAACAAAATGAATTAATGGCTTTTAAACCCTTTGCACTAAAAAAGGAAAGTGCTCCCAGCTTGACAACTTAAATGATAAGTTGCAGCCCAGTGTGTTTTGAAATAGACCAAACATAAATCCATCTTCAATAGGGAGTTTTAATTGCAAGCCACACTGACCCTTCGCTCTGGTGCTGCCACACAGCTTGCAATACTGAAGACTGACAAATTGCTGTAAGTGGATGTAGACTTCAACACACTCCCCTCGTGGCCTTAGCCACACCAAGCATCAGGAAGCAGACACACTTTTTCCAGGTGGAGGGAAGACTCCTAAGGTCCACTTTAAGCTGCTGCACCAGGGGCCCCCCACGGAAACAAGTGTCTCATTGGAGGGAAAGCAGGGCTGGGGAGGGAGCATAACCTGTTTGAGAAGGGGGAAGTCCAGGGAAGCAGCCCTGAAATTAAAAGGATCTGAAATTAAAACGAAGGAGGAGGAGGAGGAGGAAGGGAAAAAAAAAAAAGAAAACACTCTTTCATGGAGAATTCCATCCATTTGTGGCCTGCTTGGGAATTAAGTTATAGAATTTTCTTGGGCTTCTAAGGTTGGTGTAGGAGGGGTTGCAAATCTCATCCAGAGCTCTGATGATTTTTTCTGAGGAAAATCAAACCAGAAAACAAGGAGAGTTTCTGGTTTAGTGTGTGCTGTTGAGCAGAGATTGTGATATTGAGACCATTCCAGGAAAGGAAGTTTTAAGGCCAAAATTAAAATAGCACATTTGTTCCTTGCAATTTGAGTTCAGAATCCCCCAAGGCTCCTTCCTTGGGAAGCCTTATTTTTCATTTGAGAGATGTTGTGCACCATATGGATTTTTTTTTTTTTTTTGGTTTACATATAGCATTTGCCAAGAATGTCTTATGAGACACAGCACCTCATTTTCCATGGGGGTCCCAAGAGATAGCAGATACCTTCAAATCTTTCTCTATTTGCTTGGTAAATGTAAACATGCAGAATAAGACAACACTATTTAGCAAATAAAATGATACTCTTAGAACTTTTAAGCTGTGCAAATCGTAATTACAGCAATCTCAATAATTATTATCACTTAATTTTCAAAGAGCACCAAGCTTCATTTAGACACAAACTAAAATTGGAATCCAGCCTTGACATTCGTCTATTAAGACTCAGAGTCTCAACAGAAGGCATATACACGTTTGAGGAGTTTGACTTAATTTACAGGTGAATTCAATCAATGTGTCAGTTCCCACTGAACTTACAAGTTGCTTAACTAAGTTGATTGAACAAATGGACCTATTGTGTTGTCACCTACCCTCTGTGGAGATATGGAAGTGGGGATTAGCTCGGGGAAGATGTGACGGGAAAAAGGAGAGCATCTAAAGTAGTTAAGTGTTGTTCTGCTTCATATTTGTTGCTGGTATATTTTTAGGTATTGGCAGGAATATAGGAATGAAATTCACTAAAGTGGACTTAAAATGGAGCTGTGGCAGTGTTGAATTCAAGGGGAAAGCACATGCATTCCTCCACTGACAAGCTCCTCTAGACTTCTTTGGCTCCATTTCTTTATTGCTGGCAGTCTTAGAATAACAGACTGTCTTATGATCTTTCAGCATCTTCTCTTTGGCGCTCAGGCTTACAGAGGATTGCGATTTGAATCTGGAAGACTCAGTTGTCTGGATCTTGGTTAATGAAGAAACTGTCTTCTCTGCACTTACTGAGTAACTTATTCAATAGCCTTAAAGTTGAGAACAATAAGTCTTGCTGATTTTTTTTCTGCTGATTCATTGAAATCTCACCCAGTGTTAACACGCTCCTAGTGATAGAACTGGGAGGAGGTATAGAGGGACCCTGGCCCTTTGAAGATCTTCTAATTTGTTCACATAGTGTTTATACTTGTTTGTTTCTGTAATTTGCAATTAGAGTACTCTAATCTACATGTTTCCTGAGGAATATTCCAGGGACTGTCAAATACACGTATACGTGCATACACACACACACACACACACACACACACACACACACAAAACAACCTTTTAAAAAATACCTATGTAAATAAAAAGGGCAAACTGCCTTATAATACAGTGACATTCACAGTAAGTTATCAACATACGTATTGATACAATACAATATATTGTATTTGGCACAATGACTCTAAGAAGTAACGGAACTGGGGTGGTGGATGGGGGGATGGTGACAAAGGCTTAGCTGAACAGAACACACTAACTTGAAAAATCTTGCAACAAGCTCTCTCCCCAACACTCTCCAGTAACTGTCTTTGGCCATTCCGTTCCTGTTTCTAACCTGTTGGCCTTTGTACCTACTAGTGTCATTTAAGGATGGAGAAGTGGACAGAAATCTAGCAAAAACAATGGCTCGAACTAAAAGAGTAAGAAATGGTGGCGTTTTAAGACATAATCACAGGAACTGTCACTTACTGAACGCTAACTATGAGCCAGACCCCATAGCAAGTGTTTTCCATATTTTACCTTATTTCATCTGCACTACCTAATGAGTTTTCATACATAGGGCGGGGCTTTGGGGGCAGACAGAACTTGCACCCATATCTTAGCTGTGCCATTTACCTAGCAATGCGAATATGGAAAAGTTACTTAAATCTCTCAAAGCCTCTGTTTGTTCAACCACAATCAGGCACTAAGTAAGCATCACCTGATGATTTCTGAACACAACTTTATAAGTGAGCTTCTTTGTGTTTTGAATTCTATGCATGACATTACTGTGTATGAATGTGACTTACTCCCAGAGTTTGCTTTAGTCTCCACTGTCCTCTTTCCATCACCCAGAGACTCCTACTTCCTTTAGTCTTCCCAGGGAGCGCACTTCCCATCACTGAGTCGTCTTCTCTGTTTTCCTGAATCCTCAGATTCTCCATAATTCATTTTAGCTCTTCGGCCCTGTGCAAAACACAGCTCCCTGATGAAGTCCTATGTGACGTTGAGGTAAAGAGAGGGATTAGCAGGTGTTACTTGCACGCTGTACACCTGTGCTCCAATTCCCTACACCCCCCCAGGGAAGCTGTGTGCCCTCACCGCCCCACGGACAGCCTGAGGTACCGAGAAGACAAACGCCTTGTGCCCACGTTACGCAGACCCAACAGTGACTTAGCTTTCCCTCCCCCAATCTCATTTTCACTAAATACCAATACTCTGTCTCTATTTGTTCTCTTGAGGAAACAGCAACAGCAACATGCTCTTGTCAAGTTAGAATGAGTAAGATTTTGGCTTACATCTTAATAGTGTTTGAATTTGTACCTAGCTAAGAGTAGATCAGCCCTGGGCAGCGTGCTGTAAGTGTAATGATTAGAACCACATTGAAGTAAAAACCATGTACAAATGCAATTTACAAGCAAAACTATTCAGTTCGAGTTTCTGGTGAGGACTGTTTTCTGGTTCACTGGAGACTTTTAAACTAATATCAACAAGACAATTTAAAATAGAATAAAATAAAATTAATTCCTTCATCATGTTTTATTAGGGACTCCTTAGGTTGAATAAAGAGGAACAAAAGATGAGTAGCATATAGGACTTCAGAGGTATCTGTCTGCATGCTATGCCTTAATGGCACGGCATGTCTATCTTTTGGTTCCTCGGTTTTCTGTGTTGGTATATAAAGTCCACTTACATGATAATTTACCTAGCAAAATCCTACTCTCGTATTAGAGTTTGTTTTTGAATGAGGAAAATGAAAATAAAAGATATTTCATCTACATCTAAGATATCAACAGAGGCCTTGGCTCTTTCCCAGTCCTGTTAGTTTCCTAAGTATGAGGAAAGCACCCTAAGAGATGCTGATTTCATTTAAACATGAAAGAGAAGCTCTCCATTTTGACTGGCTTTCTTCTGTGTCTCTGGCAATGAGTATTTGTAAATATGGCTTACCAGCAGCCAGGCTGTTGTCCCAGTTACAGACCTACCTTTCGCCTTTGGAAACGTAGCTTTTCCTCTCCTTTGGTGGCATTGCTCCTTGGAGGGCCGTGCCCACCCGGTGCTTTCCCTATGAGAGTGAAAGCAGCAGTTTCTTATTTTACAAGAAGCATTTTTAGGATTTCATCAAATCTGTCAAAGACAAAGCCCTAGAGGTGAAAACCTTCCTCCATAACCAAGCTAATATCTACTCATCTCTGGTGTCTCCAACTTCCCTCAGCAGATAATATAATGCAGTTCCTTGAGAAGCAGGCTTGTCCTCAGAGAAGCCCAAAGTGCTTTTGGGGTCAGTGGGAAGGCTGAAAGTTCAGCCTTCAGCTCCTCTGAGCACTTTGCCCTATGTCGAGCCTCTCAGCTATGGTGACAGTGAATAGCCGGATTCTAGGTGATGTGGAAACTTGATCACCACATCAGTACTTGGGCCATCAAATATGTGACCCTAAGGTGAAAGTCTCCATGTTATGTTACCTCTCCCCTCAGCCAGGCTGACCCCCCCAAAGTGCTGCTTTTCCATTTATATTTATATCCTCCTACCCTCCTTCCTGTTCTTTCACACGAGGCAGTTGACAATGGTAATAAATGTGGTCGTACTCAAGGATGGGGCTGTGACAGGCTCAATAAGGAGCGGACTGATTTGTTGCTTTGGGGTTGAAAGCTCAGACTTTCATGAAACAAAAATATTATATTCAGGGTAATGATTTATGGCCTTGACTCCTGTTTGATTGCAGACCATAAATACTAGCAAAAGGTACTTAACAGCATCTCTAGAGGACATTAGGAACACACTCAAGTTTATTTTATACAGCAATTACCGATTCAGCATAAGCATGGACATTACTTGAAAAATATTATTTTCCCCCCAATAAGTCTTTGGAAATGATAATGCTCAATAATGATTTTCACACACTCCAGCTTTAGCCATGTGACTCTAAAGTGTTCAAAGAAATCCAATGACAGATCAACCAGTGAGGCAAGATCTGATGCCAATTGACACTCTGACAAAGATGTCTTTTTTTTTTTAAATCCTATAATAACCTCATTTCCCAGCCTCAAATGCATGGCCTATGACTAGCATTATCCCATTGAAACTACCAAGTCACCTAGGTGCAAACTTGCTGGCTGGGCTTACAACATGAATCTTGCTCAAATCTCTTTGATTTCCTTGTGCCTGGTTTCTTCAGTGGTAAAGCAGAAACACCTGATCCAGTGGCTAGTTTGGGCCTCGATCACACCCATTCCTATTTGCCTGCCTTTGGGAGTGTGGTCTTATCAGTCTTCCCACCCTGGACTGGGTCCTGATTTCTCTTGCCCATGTGACTACCCCAAAGTCTTAGAGCCACGTGAATGAGATACCATTAGCCATTTATAACTGAAGCTTGTGCCAGCCAGAACGAAGAGGAGTGCCTTGTGAATAGGAGGCTTTATTTATATTACAAAAACATTTCAGTCCCAGGAGGAGTTTATTTATACTCTCTATCCTTAGTGCTCAGTGAATTAATTTATTTAAAGCAATGAATGATATTTTTCCATGACACAGACTTGATCCCTCCATGGAAAAGTAAAAAGACCTTCCTAAAAGCTTCTATTGAGTTGTAGAAGTTGGGTCCAAAAGATGCTATTTGAAATGCTATTGAAGGAATGTCTCCCAGCAGATAGCGGAATGACTTAGGAGCTACTTTACATTTATTATTACAGTAGGTAGCCACTTTTCCTTCCCTATCTTGTTTGAGAGACTTCCCAGAAGATAAAAAACAATTAACTCTTTATTTTGGCAGTAATCATGCTAGGTGTTCTTTTAATGGGTATTATTCTTGCTAAATTATAGATGAGCTTGATAGTAAGACAAATGCCATTATCTGAGTTATTTATTCATGGGATGTCGTCTGTAACATGCCCACACTAGTTTTTCTTGAA